GTCTTCCAATTGTAGATATACTTGGGTGTCCTATTGTATAGGTATACGGCAGCACGCCAGATCTCAACCCAAAGGAACGAAGGCAGCTTTGCTCCGATTCTCATCGCGCGAGCTTTCTCCTTGATCACACCCCCCGAGCGCTCTGCGCCGCCATTTTGACTTTAGGCATATGGCGCGGAGGGCTCTAGGCGCATCCCGTGTTTAATACTGAGGAAGTCACTTACCTGGTGACTATCCGGGATCTCATTATCACACTCGATGACTTCGGGCCTACACTGGAGTTATCGCTCTAGTGTTCTGAGTAGATGCTCAAGTGCACCGATAAGCGTTGGTGCAGTTCGATCAGGAAGATAATAGTCCCAGATATAGCCAGAGTAACAGTCGGTGACCAGCATAGCTGAAGTGTAGCCTGGATCCCCACTCATGTCGTAGAAATCAATAGCAAGTCGGATTCCAGCCTTCTCAGGTGGAACTCGTCTTTATCGACGGACTTGGCGCTTCACCTTCGCCATTCCGCAAACATCACACTCAACCGTGGAGATCCCTCTGATCTTCACCCCCCGAGATTAGCCCACGAGGTGCTTGAGTACTTCAGGCCCTGGGTGTCCAAGTCAAAGGTGCCAAAAGGCTTCGTCTCCACTGCAAGGAGGGCGTTTAGTCCACGAATCATACTGTTTCCGTTTAGCTAGGAATGCTGCTGCTGTTATTGACTTGTCGATATACTCCAGTACGTACTGGTCGAAATGATCCGTCAATGTGCAGAGGATTGAATCATCTTTCCTGCGGATTTGGTTGTTGTTCCCTTTGGTATCCCAGTAGTAGCCCCTTTTCCGCAACTGGCGGTATGACACAATATTGCATGCAAAGTTTATGCAATAAGCTACATCTCGCAATCTGAGAAGAGAGGGCCCTTGGGGTCCTTGAACGCAAATATCCACGTTCCCGTACCCGTGAATGGCCACTGGTGACTCCCCTGCATAGACGAAGTCTCCAGACGGTGCCGGTTAGTAGTTAAGGAACCTGCATACTTCATTAAAGATATGGATTATCGATCCAGAGTCAAGGATAGCAGAATGTCTGAGAGGGTAGGGGGCACAGTTGAAGGCTGCAATAAAGTTATGCATCACTAGGTAGGTTGCCTTAACGTGTGCCATACCCCGCCCAAGTCACTCGTCCTAAGTGGTTCTATCTCTACTTTTAGACAATCATTTAACTTCCTCCACCAAACCAATATCATTCTTAAGACGGTCATTTATTAATCGTTATATCGCTTAGTTAGGCTCCCATCCTTCGGCTTTCTGGGCTAGGAATAAGTACCAGCAGCCTTTCCAGTCATGGAAACCTAAACATCCTCGACAGGTAGGGCCATCCGGGTTCGGATTGACGGTCGTCTCTGCTCGTTTTCGTTTTGTTGATACTCCTCTTCCGCCGCCTCGTGCTCTACGCCCACGGCTTTGGCCTCGCGTATCTCGATGTGCATAGGATGTTTCATCCGTTGCCCAATCTAAGGCGTCTCCTTAGACTTCAATAGTATCATTATCGCAGTCTGTGGTTGCAGGTCTGTCGTTCCTAAATGCAGCGCCGTATATGGCTGCGAAGGCGCCTCTCTTGATTCCTAACGGCCTTCCGCTAGCGTTGGCCATTTTGGCTTCGTATCGAATGTCGGCAGCGACCTCTCGATAGTTGAGGGAATTATTGAGGATTTGAGGGCATCGGTGTTGTCGGAAAGTAGATGCCCAGCTGGGGAGGACGTGATACATTGCTCGGTTCAGGTCTTCCGCCCAGCATTGCGCGTCGAGGGCATCAGGGACTTTCTTGCTGATCGCTTCGGCCATGGTCGTCTCCCACTCCGTGACCCACTCGTTGAGTTTGTTGATCTTCGGGGCTATATATACGGCTTTGTGGTACTTATCGCGCGCTTCAGGTCGAAGGCATTCATTATATACCACTCCAGATCTTCGTAGCTCCTAATACCACTTATCCAATCGGTCTCCCGTGACGCAGGATGTTTTCTGATACGTGGCCGAGACCGTCTTAAGGACAAACTCGACCAGCTTCTACTCCTGTTTCTTCGTCTCTCTATACGCCGTTTCTTTCAGAGAGTAGATCCTAATATCATGCTCGTATTCCGCTCTTCCTTCAGACGTCAACTCTCCGATTCGCCGGGGCAGTACGTAATCTGAGCCGGGCATCATTATGCCACTATCGGGATCATCCGGATCTGCTTGTCTGGGGTAGTCTCGGATTTCTGGAAGTTCTGGTCGCTGAGGCCATCGGATACGATCGGTCGGATCAATATACTGCCACAGGTCGTAGGCGTGCGCCAGTTTCTTGAATTCGTTAGACCAGGAGTCCTAATCCTCCGGAGATGCGTAGCTAATAGTCCTCTCGGCGTGTTTGGCCGACATGGTGATAGAATGAACCGAAGGTCGTATGCATTTGGGTGCGCGGGTCGCTGAGATGCAATTGAGACTCTTAATTGTCAGACATTACGTGTATTCGGTTCATTGATGTGAATTGGTGTATTTATGTTGTGTTCTGTTGAAATCTACCCCTTAGAGGTTTTACCATTTCGGCTGTAATCTTAAAGTATCCCTGCCTGCACGTGAGACCCCAGCACCTGTTCAACAATAATGCCCTGTAACGGCCACTGTTTTTCTTATCAAGATACCGCCCTGCAGGTCGCATGGCCGCCGGCCAGTGATCAACCGATTCTTATTCCCTCGCTTCAATGTTTGCACTGATAAGGGCGCAGCTGAGGCTGGGGTTCTTGGCCAATTACGTCCGTGCGTTCTTATCATTGCCCCCATGGGGAATTTCTTATCGTGCAGCTGCACCCGGGAATTGCTTATCTTGAGAGGCCCGCCGGCACTTGAACGGGTTCATTATCTTAGGTTTTGTAAAACGGCTGTAGTGTTTGGATGTATATAACAATGATGAAGATCTCAATGAAAATGGTTGTGGCAAATGCTCTTGTGATAGACTCTTGAATCCTAAACACCAACCTTACTGCAAATATATCACAATGGCTGGTGGCGGCGGTCCTTCATCCGGCACAGTCGAGCCTCCTCTGAGCCAGGCCTACGGCTATGGCATCGTTGTTGGTCTCGGCTTTCTTTTTGCCCTGGGCATGATCTTCACGACATGGGTCTTGAAACGGTACAACCATGAGAAACAGACCTCGGAAATGTTCAACACCGCTGGCCGAACGGTTAAGTCTGGTCTTGTTGCTTCAGCTGTTGTTTCCAGCTGGACTTGGGCTGCTACCCTTCTTCAATCATCTGGTGTCGCGTACCGATATGGTGTTTCTGGGCCATTCTGGGTAAGTCGACTGTTTGTGAATCGTGAAATGTAAATTGTGACTAATAATTGCAAAGTATGCTTCTGGTGCTACCGTTCAGATCATTCTCTTCGCGACCATTGCCATTGAGCTGAAGAGAAGGGCTCCCAATGCGCATACATTCCTCGAGGTTATCCGAGCTCGATATGGCCGCATTACTCACTGCGTGTATATCTGTTTCGGTCTTTTCACCAACATTCTCGTCACTGCCATGTTGTTGACTGGTGGCTCTGCTGTAGTCACTTCTCTCACTGGCATGCACACTGCTGCAGCATGTTTCCTGCTACCTCTCGGTGTTGTGCTGTACACCATGTTTGGAGGGTAAGTCAGATTAGCCTCTAGGGAGGGAAACGTGTCTAACTCGTCAAATAGTATCAAGGCCACTTTCTTGACAGATTATGTTCATACCGTCATTATTCTCGTCATCATCCTCATCTTCGCGCTCACTGCCTATGCAACCGGCAGTGAACTCGGATCGCCTGGCGAAGTCTACGATGCGCTCACCAAGGCGGCCAAGTCTCATCCCGTTGATGGCAATGCTGAAGGCTCATACCTCACCATGCGATCTCGCGAGGGTATCATCTTCTTCGTCATCAACATCGTTGGTAACTTCGGTACCGTATTCATGGATAACGGTTACTACAACAAGGCAATCGCCGCTCACCCCGTTGCCGCACTTCCCGGATACATCATTGGCGGTCTTTCATGGTTCGCTATCCCTTGGCTCTGTGCGACTACCATGGGACTAAGTGCTTTGGCTCTCGAGACCAACCCCGCGTTCCCTACGTACCCCAACCGCATGGACCCTGCTGATGTCTCGGCTGGCCTTGTTCTGCCATACGCTGCTGTTGGCTTGTTGGGTAAGACTGGCGCTATTTGCACTTTGATCATGATCTTCATGGCTGTCACTTCTGCGACTTCTGCTCAGCTCATTGCTGTTTCCTCCATCTTCACCTACGATGTTTACCAGTAAGTTCTTCGTGTACGAAAACTGGTACCTTACGCTAACGCTTCTCTAGGACCTACATCAACCCTCAAGCCTCTGGCAGTCGACTTATTGGTGTCTCACATACAACTGTCTGTCTCTATGGCGTCATCATGGCCAGTTTCAGTGTCGGTCTTCACTACGCCGGTATCAGCATGGGTTGGCTATACCTCTGGATGGGTGTCATGATCTCCGCAGCTGTCATCCCCGCTACTCTGACTCTTCTCTGGAAGCGCCAGAACTGGATTGCTGCTGCCGTGTCTCCCGTCCTCGGTCTTTTCTGTGCGCTCATCGCTTGGACTGTCACCTGCGCCAAGGAGTTTGATGGTGTTCTCAGTGTCGACAACCTTGGTTCCAACAACCCTATGCTTGCGGGCAACGTTGTCGCTCTATTGAGTCCTCTGATCTTTGTGCCGCTCTTCACATTCGGTTTCGGCTCAGATAGCTACGATTGGGCTTCTATGGCTGCTATCAAGCAGGCTGACGACACCAGCGACTCCAATGGTGACTCTGAGACTGCTGTCGTGACCAGCTTCGCCGTTGCTCCCGAGGAGGACATGGCCAAGCTCAACAGGGCCTCAAAGATTGCTAAGACAATGACCGTCTGCATGACAATCGCTTTCCTGATCCTCTGGCCCATGCCCATGTACGGAACATCCTATGTCTTCTCCAAGCCCTTTTTCACTGGCTGGGTTGTTGTTGGTATCCTCTGGCTGTTCTGCAGTTCCATCGCTGTTGGTCTATTTCCTCTCTGGGAAGGTCGACAAAGTCTTGTTCGTGTCTTCAAGGGTATGTTTGGAATGGGAGGATCAGATATTACGGAGGAGATACAAGGAAAAGCAGTGCACGAAGAAAAGATCGATGAATTTGAAAAGCAGTAGTAGATAGAAGATTAAGCATAGTTTAGCTTATCTTGGCATACCATGATATTTGTTAGTTGAAAAAGTGTTAGTAAGCAAAGTCTTACGTCGCCCAAGCCTACGATCGTGATACAAAGTGGAGGCGTGATTTATCTCCAGCAAGTTGCGACCACTTACTCAATTGTCACAGCCAGACACTGGCCATCTGTTTCAGAGTGTTTCCCCGACTTGTATTGACAGGGCAATATTCAGAATGGTCACTATAAATCTGGCCTACAGCGCCCCCGTCAATCCAAGCGGTGCTTCTCCCATCTTGTCAGAAGCTCAAGTCTGGAATGGCCTCAAGCGCAAAGTCCGGAAAGCCCATGAATTTGTGTCTCCCATTCTTGAGTGCGAAGTCCTCAGTGAAGAAGATACAGAAGCAGGCACAAAAGTCACCCGGCAGGTCACATTTGACAAAGAAGCGCGAGGTAGCAACGACACCGTTGTCAAAGAGGTAGTCTACGAATTTGCGCCGACTCGGGTCGATTTCTATCAACCAGATGGGAGCAAAATATTCAACATCGTTAGTGTTGACCAAGGCGGTAATCTGATATTGACCTTTGCTTTTGAATGGTGGCACCCGCAAGTCGAGGCAGAGAGCGAAGAGGCCAAGCAGTTGCGCGAGAAGTATTTCAAGGTGAGCCTTTTGCGCTGAACTTTGGAAACATAGAGCTGACTCGGCGTTGTAGATGGCCAAGGGGGCCGTGGAGGGTACTATCAATGCTATTCGTAAGTTCGTAAAACAAGGCGAGCTTTGAGAAAGACCTAGGTCACTGGCTAGAAAAGGATACTGTTTGCTTTGCAGGCCGTAATGACAGGGTCCGTCGGAAGGGGGGTATCAATTCATCATGCAGAGAATATCTGAGAGAAGGACTGTACTATAATAAGAAATAGAAAAGTCACCAAAAGAAACATCGTTCGCTAAAGGAGTGTTTTCCTGATCCCAACTGATCCTCTGAAGAGACTGCGCTGTTGACCAATACTAATGCCCGGATCACAACGCAATCGTCTGCTCTCGAACAAACTTCTCCTCAGTTTCGGAACTCCTAATTGGCATGATCCAGATATCGTACGGAATAAAACCGCTATCGGGGCCAAGTCCATCCAAATCATTTCTGATTAGGCCTCGAAAGCGAACCTTCATATCCTGAAATGCAACATCGTCGTTTTTATGGACTCTATCATCCCAACTCCTACCTTCGCGCTGAACAATAAATCGAATAGCGTCAATATCGTGGAAGCCAGGTATAAACTGAAACTCCGACATTGACATGCGGCCGAATGTGTCGTGATGATCCCATAGCGTGAGGTTTCCAGGTGACTTTTCGACACTGTATTTGATGCCGTATCTTGGCCTTCTAGTGGTAGCCTCTGGTGTCTGATATGTGGCCTGAGGGAGGGGAGGTGGAGGCATAGCTCTAGTCGCTTGATTTGCCTCTTGTACAGGGGTTATGTCTTCAGTAGCCAGCTGGGTCTTATCAAAGAACATTGGCTCTGAAGTTGCGCGAGGATTCTGTGAGGTGCCGACATTAGAAGCTCCAGGGGTCTCTGTTCCAAGCTCTGGACTGAGACGGGATCCCGGGTCGCTTTGTCGACTTGGAGGTGGTGACAAAGATTGAGAATCATCCTCCGTGTCGAAGGTTGGTGTTTCGACAAAATTAAGGCGCTGGACTGGTCGACAGCTGCGGCCTGATGATGTGTATTTCTCAGTAATACCGTCTATAGCGGCGGTGGTCTCTGGACGTTCAGTCATCTGAGCGACAGGGGCAGTTGGTTCAGAAGAGACCGCAGTGTCGCTCGGAGGATTTATCGCCGCTGTGGAGTTTTGAGGAGGCGGTGTGATGTTGGTCATATTGCCTGCCGATAAAGTCTGGTACGGTCAGTTGATAACCCTTTATGCATCATATCATGGACGGGTAGAGCGATAACACCGAGAAGACTACCTACTTGATTATCTGGTCCCCTAGGGCGTAGAAGAAGGGTGTCTAGATCTGGAAGGGTGGGATCATTATCTGAATCGTCTTCGTTCCATGGGTCTGTGTCCATTTTCTCGCCTGGAACTGAAGGTGACATTACGTTACTGACAGAAAACATGTTAGCTAGAGTATAAAGTTTGAAAGCTGGCAATACCTTTGTCCAAGTGTCTGAGATCTCTGCCTCTCGTTACGTGCTGCTTGTTTCTTCTTGGATGGTGAGTTAGGACCTTTTTGATGTTCTTGCTGGTTATGGCGAAAAAAGAGTTGGGCAAGCAGCTTGACGATTCTAACACTTGGTCAGTAACATATTCTTGCAACTGCTTGAGGGTCCTACGTTTCATCATCCTGTCCCCAGATCAGTGAGCCCCCAGAAGAAGAGCTCTCGCTTGCTGGCCAATATTGCTGTCCTCGGCCTTCTATGACTGCAAATGTCTTCGCCATATACTCGAGGTCAACTCTCTGTCTTGCATCGGTCCACTTAATCAGAGAAGCCCCGGGCACTCCATCACTGGTCTTATACCCCTCAATAAATTTCTTATAAGCCTGCACGAAGAATCGGCTGGAGGGATTGGACCGCGGATAACCTAATGCGATTTGGAGAGGGGTTATTTTTGGAATATTCCCGATCTTCTCCTTACTCATGGTTGATAGTGAATGTTGAAAAATAATGTCAGTCGGATAAGTATGATTCTGCTTGGAGTTGGATCCGGGTGTATACTCAAAAACTGATGATAAGTCAAGACACTAAAGGAATAGAAATGCATTTCCGTGAGGGGAGGCCTCTGCCTGATTTTATGGTCAAGTCTGCCTTAGCTGAACACCCCAGCCAACTCGAAACCTGAAGAGAAAAGTATATAAACATTAAGCGCTCTCCAGAAACACCTAGGCCTCTGAAATTGGCCTCCAAACCTCATGACAAAAAGAGTCACCGAAATAAACAGTTCTAAGTATTTCTGCAACACAGACTCCACGACCATCTCGGCCTTCAGCTTTAAACCATTAAAATCAGAGTTTTATAGCCCGAGTAATTTGTCACCAAGTGTGCAATCTTGGGGCTGTTTGGTCGGTATCGAGAAAGTGTTGGTTCAGGACCAACAGTTTTCTGCATGAGTGTACCCTCTGCAGGAATTCAAGCCAATAGGAATATCTTCAGCAGGCCAACAGAGGCTTGTGAGCTATAAATAGCATATTTTCGCCTCTCTCTTTTCTTTCTTCCATTTCATCTGTTTCACAAGAGTCGTCCTGGGCTTTTTTACGAACAATTCTGAAGCAATTGCTGGTTATGGTGTGTTGTCGCTGCGGCGCAGCCCTTGCATGGGCCAGGATCGAATCTGCCTTGCAAAAGGAGCCCTGATCTACGTAACTGCCAGTTAAGAAGTTGGATTCTTCAAGTGGAAGCATTCAATTATCCATCAGTTCAGCCTCTAGTCTTGTTGCTCGGTTTAGCTTCAAATCGGTGCTGCGATTGACTGATACTCCCCGAGCGTGCCGGCTCACTTCGCCATGACGAAATTGTTGCCCGATAGTGATGCCCCCCATATTGCTTCGGCAGTTCATATCTCGGTTAACTGATTTTCCTGATTGCCTCCGACTTTATGTGCACTCTCATAAAGGATACTGTGAATGCTAGCGCATCTCTTCTCACAATCAGACAGCATGAATTTTTCTAAAACTTCTACTATACTTAGAACGAGGTCTCCGCTGCGCCACCTCTGCTGTCAACTGTATTCAGATGAACTCAATCGTAAGCTAGCTCCCTAGTGTGCTCAATTGATCCACAAACTGCCGGCATTGGAGGATTACATGTCCAACCTCCTTCGTGAGCTATGACAATCGTCCAGGCTTCTACTGGTCGCACATTTCCAGCGCAACACAAAAACGTGTCGCGCGTTCCATTTTCTGTTCCAGGTTTCCCAGTGACATGTACTGCATGAGCACGCGATAACTGATGAAAAAGACCATGATGTTGCCGACATCAGTCCGTCAATGACTCGGGCAGCCGATTCCCTGTAGGAGCGGGGAAACGTTAAGCTTGATTACCCAAAAGTCAAGCTTATTATCCCACGTCCAAGAGAGTCGTTACGCAAGAACCTCTACCCATCAAACCCCATCAGGCAGGTGAATAAACACGCCGATCCCTCCCCGCAGCAAAGCCAAGTAGCCAAGCCAGCTCAGCCATTGGCCGACTCTGGGGAGCTTCCCAAGAGGGTTACAACCGCAAGGCATGACGACATTCGCGAGAGCTATCCCGAGCTTAGGATCGTAAGCTTACCGACTGGGAAAGGAAGTTCATCCATCACGATAAGAGCTTTGGCAAATCAAAGGCAACCTTGGCCCGAGATGGGATCCTGTTTGTTGGGAATACCAAGGACCTAAGTGTTGTCTATGCAATGGTACCATTGTAAGGTAACATGACACTGCAGAATGGGGCTGGTCATGTTTGCGGGAGTTGCATTTATATCCGAAGCTTCCCATTGCTCCGCGATTACTTCCCCTCCCAGGCAAAGGTTGTGAAGTTCAATTGACATTGAACCTTCGTTATGCATTTCCGACAGCTCTCGACAATCGCAGCTTTCGCTGCTGGCGTATCTGCTTGCCAGCGTGATCTCGTCTTGGGCAAGCGACATACACATCGCCAGCCACTGACCAAGCGCAATGCCGATTGGCCTCCAGTCTTGACGGAGCAAGAAACTCTTCTTGTCAATTCCTTTGACAATTCATCCATTGAAAAGTGGTCTGACTACTACGGTCACCAGAATAAGCTGGCTGGCTATGGAAAAGAAGCTGCCCAGTGGACCGCTGATCGTTGGTCCGAGAGCGGATTTGATGCGCACCTGGCGGAGTACCATGTGTTCCTCAGATACCCAGTCAGTTCATCTCTCTACTTCACCGGCCCCAACGGTACAACAACCGAGGTGAACACCAAGGAGGAGGTGCTTGAAGAAGATGATGTTACAGGCTGGGATGTGCTTTCACAGCAGACCTGGTTGGCCTACTCGCCGACCGGAAATGCTTCTGCCGAATATGTCTACGCTGGGTAAGTCAAGTTTTCAAATGGCCTGGATGTTTGTTGCTGACTTTTGGCGCTAGCCGAGGCTCAATCGATGATTTCGATCGACTAGTCGAGCTTGGTGTCGATATTAAGGGCAAGATTGCTCTTATCAAATATGGTGGTCTGTTCCGCGGTCTCAAAGTAAAGAATGCTCAAGATCACGGAGCCATTGGTGCCATTATCTTTACCGACCCTGGCGACGATGGAAACATTACGGTTGCCAACGGTTACGAGGCGTATCCTGGTAAGACTTCTCATATGACTGCTCTGAAAAGCTCATGCTAAGTAAATGTCAGATGGTCCTGCTAGAAACCCCAGCTCCGTCCAAAAGGGCTCAACACTATTTCTGTCCACCCGTACCGGCGACCCTACAACTCCTGGCTACCCCTCCAAGAAGGACTCGCCTCGAGCTGACATCTCAGAGGTTATTGCCAAGATCCCAGCTCTGCCAATTTCTTACTCGGCCGCTCAGCCTCTGCTGCAGGCTCTCAATGGCCACGGCGTCACCGCTGAGAAGGTGAATCGTACTGCTTGGACAGGCGGTCTCGATGCCGACTATAGCTCTGGCCCTGCGCCTGGCGTGAAGCTCGCTCTCAGCACCGTCTCTCGTGATTCTATCGAGCCGGTACACAATGTCATTGGTGTTATCAACGGAACCAATGCCGACGAAACTATCATCATTGGAAACCATAGAGATACATGGATGGTCGTAAGTAAAATCGCGAGCAGATACTCACAAAGTTCATCACTGACTGATTAGGGCGGTAACGGAGATCCCAACTCTGGTTCTTCGATCCTCATTGAGCTTGCTCGCGCATTCAAGAAGCTCACTGATTCAGGCTGGAAGCCCAAGCGAAACATTGTTCTCGCATCTTGGGATGCGGAAGAATGGGGCATCATTG